CAAGCTGGCCTGATATCTGTCTGAGACCTTACAGCCATTCACTGGCAAGACCACCTCTTCTGTACTTAGCTCACCTGGTATCATCAAAAAGACATCTCACTGTCCCCAGGTGATTTTCTCGTTAGTTTCGATGTAGTTTCTTTGTTCACCAAAGTTCATGTGCCCGATACCATTGCAATCATTGAAGATTTGATCCAACAAGGATTGAATGCTGATGCACCGGCCCCGGTGAGACACTGCCTCACCAATACATACTTTACCTGGAATGGAACATTCTACAAACAAACTGAAGGCACCTTAATGGGATCTCCCTTATCTCCGGTTGTAGCCAATGTTTTAATGGAAATTTTTTAGACGGACGCCATCTTGGCATCCACTCTACACCCGTCCTTGTGGAAGAGGTACATGGATGACACGTTTGTCATCTGGCCACATGGCTGACCGGCTCTGAATCAATTCCTCAACCACATCAATTCCATACACCCAGTCATCAATTCACCATGGAGGTAGAAAATGATGGCAAGCTACCTTTCTTGGATGTTCTAATCAAAAAGAGACCAGATGGCTCAATGAGCCATTCTATCTACAGGAAAGCAACCCATACTGATGCCTACCTAAAACCTGACTCCCACCACCATCGATCCCAGAAGAATTCCCTCATCAAAACTCTACACCATAGAGCTCAATGTATCTTTGACCATGAACACCTAACCAGTGAACTCAAACACGTACACTAAGCTCTCAAGGCGAATTAATACTCTGACTACACAATCCGCAAAGCCATCACCCCAACCGTGATGAAGGAGACATCTGAGGATCCAATCAAAACCATCACCTTGCCATACACAGCAGGGGTAAACAAACATATTTCCAAAATCATGAACAAACACAAGATCCAGTTCCGATTTAACACTTTACATAACATTCGTGATCTGATCCCATCTGTGAAGAACAACATCCCTAACATGCAATATCCCGGCGTCTACAAACTAAGCTGTATCTGCGGTAGCAGTTACATTGGGGAAACTAAACGACATGAATCGGACCGTGTTCGTTAGCATAAGGCCGATTTGAAACACGGTAGGTCCAATACTTCTGCCGTGGCTGATAATTATTTTAATGCGGCTGGCTCACACGAAATTGATATCTATAAGACGAAGGTACTTTGCAAACCCACTGGCTATCAACAAAGATTCGTTCATGAAGCCATCCATATATACAGACATAGACACAATTTTAACCATGAAGATGGGTACAAACTCAGCAATCACTGGAAGGACGTTATCAACCATTTGAAGTCATAACTGACTGTTATGTTTCCATTTTAGACCTGGCAGCCCTTTAATTGGTGGAAGCCCACCACCAGGACCATCACTGCCCACTACTACCATCAGCACTAGCAGTAGCCCTTTATTGGTTGAAAACCACCACCAGTACCATCATTACCCACTACTACCATCACCTCTAACAGCAACCTCCACCGTCAACAATGTGATTGTGTAAAGCGAGGTGCAATGATTACTTGGCAGCCCTTTAATTGGTGGAAACCCACCACCAGCGCCGCCATTGCCCACTACTACCATCACTTACATTAACATCAGCTGCCCCACCCATGCTGCTGACACTTGGGCTGTGCCCATTTTAAACCTTTATAAACAGTTAGCCTTTAGAGGCTAACCCTCCTTTTCCTGATGACGTCCGCTTGTGCTGCGATCGAAACGCCGTGGTTTTTGTTTTTTTATTATTTTTATTCACTTTTTCTATCTTTGTGACTTTACCGAAAGAACCAAAGAATAAGTCTACATTATAGACTGCCAGTGCGCTCACTCAGGTTAAGAACCAGACTACAGTCTACATTATAGATTGCCAGTACGCTCACTCAGTTCAATAACCATTGCTACAGTCTACCTTATAGACTGCCAGTACGCTCACCGAGGTTAAGAACCGGGCTATAGTCTACATTATAGACTTCCAGTACACTCACCCAGCGGAATACTAATTTCTACAGTCTACATTATAGACTGCCAGTACACTCAGCAAACTTAATAACCAGGCTACAGTCTGCATTATAGACTGCCAGTACACTCACCAAACTTAATAACCAGGCTACAGTCTACATTATAGACTACCAGTACACTCACTCAGATTAAGAAGCAGGCTACAGTCTACATTGTTGTAACACGAAGCTTTCCTCCTGATTCCTGCTTCATGTTTGTCCATACTGGCCATTATGATATTGCAGAACAGGAACTAATCCGGCCTCTGTAAATCCCGACAGTGTATCCAGCTTAATCATAAACACTGCCTCACGGAATCCGGCTACGAGTAATCACAGTCAGTTTAAAGGGGCCATGTGGAAATAGGATATGAGACAAACACTGTACACAGTATATATTGACATACTATATACAAGTCTGGGCATTGGTATTCGTAGGCGATGGAACAGTGGTTAGCACACGATTCTGGGAACATGGAGACTCAATTTTGTTAACATCAGTGGCGATATCTGAAACCGGTGTTGGGTTCTCTCTTCACCTGGTATGGGGAGTGCACTTGTCGCACTTAGGCGATCTCAATCTCCCTTAACCCACACACCATGTACTCTTTAACGTGCAAATAACTAGCGCCGAGAAAGCTTGAGGTACCAAAAGACATGAACAAAACGTTAAGAAACCAAAAAATAGCAACATATGCAGTGTATGGTACTAATCTACGATAGCGAGCAACTTAAGAACGTATGTACAAAGCATGAACGATCAATACTATTGTCCTGCGGTCAAGCTATCAGGCACTTCATCATGTTGCGTTTGCCTGTTTCAGTACACTGCAAGAACAGATTTACTACAATGCAATCAACAACACGGAAGCATCATCGGATGGTTTTAGGACGAGATTCTACTTTAGTTTCTTTTATACTGCATGGGTTGTTTGCAAAGGCATGTTTTTACCCTTTCAATGTACAGTATTTGAGTTTATTTCACCATTTGCTTTTTTCCAGTTGAGTTGTAAATGTCTTTGCAGTGGAGGTTCGCACAACCTGAAACATTATAGATCGTGTGAGAAATAAGAATAGGGTTTACCCTGTCCGGCAATACAATAGTTAAGATGTTCAAACACCAAATATATACCTTTTGCAAGGAATCGGGTCTGCAATAACCACACGTACTTGTGGTAATCATGCAAACAAACATGCTCTGATAATGTATGCATTGTCTTTGAAACTTTATGACCTAGTCTCGCCAGTGTCAGACTAAAGAAAGCCAAAAGTATTTATAGAGCGTGTCTGATAGCTTGACTGCAGTACAATGACGATGCACGTGGAACATTACGCGAAACACTGAACGCCAAATGATCCAATATTTAAACTAGTCAACTTTATCATGTTACTTCTTGCACTCAAATAAATATCTCTGCTTGGTCTGCCTTGCAGTGGCCCTTCCCGCAACGTTCCCGATGCCCCCACTAAGCAGAGTTGTTGTCAGGCTGCTCTGCTCGTCCTGAGGACAGGGGACTTTTGTCTTGAGCAGCTGTCCCCCGACATGAATGGCATCGTTCACACCATGAGATGTGGACGAAAGTTAGAGGACAGATATAACCAATGGAAAATCGCAGCATTGAGAACTGGCATAACGTATTAAACGCAATTTAATACCGCATCTCAAAAGCGATCGAGTGAGGACGCAGTCCTCCACGAGTCCTTTTGTGTCCAACGAGTCCAATGAGCCGGGTGCCATCGCTGTTATTATTATGAACAAAAACATATTGTTGTGTTTAGTTTGTTGTCCTTGCCCCGCACCTCCGATCAGCACGGTTGGCTTCGTACGGTGCAAAAGGATGTCAACATACATTATAATTACACTGCATTACCAATAGTGAGTTAATAGATGCTTATGACAATCAAACGTAATTCCAGGAGTCGGATGCACTAGACTTTATGGGTTTAAAAAGAAATGTATCTTAATTTCAAAGGTAAATGTAGAGACGTGTTCACCAACGATGTTCTTTCACAACTGTCCAAATAAGCTATGGCACCCTGAAAAATGTTATAGGTCTTTATTACTCTTAGGGTTAGGGGCTGTCACTTGTCTGGAGTTGACCTGGACAGACTGGGAATTTGCACATCTGATGCGGGTGGCAGTAATTGATTTGTACTGAGTTCTGGTACCGGTATTGTGTTGAACTTTTATTTCAGAACACTGTAAACGTTTTGATTAGAGAAGTTAAACGGTAACCAATAATCGTTTTGAGAATAGATTACCGGTTCCAAACATCATGAACTGGTAGAGTGTTCGTTTCCAGTGAAATTATGTTCATTGATGGGAGGCGGGAACTTACAACCGGCACGATGGCGTAAGTCACCATATCTGACATATTTTGCCCTAATTTCTCAGTTGAAAGGTCAAAAAGTTGCACCCCTAGAATTTCTCGCTTGCGCACACCACTGCAGATGGAAATATCTTAACTGGTAGGAGCTCTAGAGAGAATTGGTCTACTCTTCCACGCTGACAACACGCCTTGTAAAGAGATGGGAGGCCCCACATTTTCAGCTCATACTTTGAGAACTGCCCGTCGACTGTGATATATCCATTTGTATAGACGTAGGCTGAGCGAGAACCATGTACCGGTTCGGTCTGTGCAAGAGGTGGCGATCCTACTTGGCAGGATCATGTTGGAGTGGTTATGCACGAGCCAGACTTGACATTCCTTGATCTTCTGAGAGTTCATTGTTAACTGAGCCGAGCTAAAGGATCCACTTGTGCTTCTTAGCGTCAATGTATTCATCCCTTAAACAAACTCAACAGATTCGTCAATAACAGTGGCCTTAAAATAAACCAAAATGCAATAGGCGACGTTTCGAGCAATGGGCCTTCGTCATAGCATGACTCATCTTCACAGACCAGAGCGAAGGCACATCTTAGGCTTCACTGTGAATGACGAACTTTCAGAGAGCTCTGTATATTGACTCTTATCTGCAACAACGCACAGAGGAGGGCCGCCACTCCACATTCCTCGCCACGCACCGGTGCAGACGGAGATAACATTCATTTCACTGCTCGGCAAAAGCAGCATTATTAAAGTAATTGTAATCGTCGAGTGCACAGAGACACTTTACCTCTGATATAAAAGGACGCTCTTTCACACATTAACCACACAGTGTTGCATAAACCGATGTTAGGTTAAGAATTTGCAAGACACGAGGGGGGTGGCATCCCGAGTCATTCATTCCACTTCTGCAGACGCAGCGCGACGCTTCCCGCAAAGTTGCTTCAGGGAGACGACTCGACAGCCGACATCGCGCGGAGACAAAAAACGCAGTAAGTTGCGCTCCCCTCGTAACGTCGACACGTCGCTGAGAACGTAATTGTTAGTGCGAGATTTGAAGCTTTCGTGACTGCAAGGATTCAGACTCTTAGGTTTTTTCGGTAAAGTCACGTAGGTAAAAAAAAATAGAAATAAAGTTACAAATCACTTTATTTCTATTATTATTTCTATAACTTCTATTTTTTTTTACCTATGTGACTTTACCGAAAAAACCTGAGAGGAATTGTTCGTGTCAATCCGCGGCGCCGCCTGGGTAGAGTTCGGCGGGACGAGGAGGGCAGCGACGCGGGCGAGAGATCTAGGATACACGGCAGGCTCTTGTTTGACACACTGGGCCTGCTCTGTAGTGCCCGAGCCATAACTTCAACGCAACATTACAAAAGGCAAGCGCCGGCTATTCGCACTAATGCTTCTAGGGACGTTGTAGCGGGTGTTTGGAAGACGACACCTTGTTGTGAGCGATTGCGTGCTCATTGCGCGATGTCGCATGCGCTTGCAATTAGACGGTGCAGTGTCAACATTGCACAGGCACCAGGGATGTGACAGATTCAAGATTCATGCTCAACAAAGTCATGCACAGTCGCGTTTCTGTTCGGTATACACTTTATTACATGAAGTTATGTCATTTGCACAACGACGCAGCGTGTTGGTTTATATATTTGTATATGATTTTAAGCTTTCGTGACTGCAGGAATTACCCTTTGGTTCTTTCGGTAAAGTCACGTAGAAAGAAAAGAAATTAAATAATAGAAGACGACGTTACAATTGCAACACAAGCAGTCGTCATCAGGTAAAACTAAATTTGAGAGAGACAAAACACAAACACGGAGACACACAGACACACAAGCAGAGAGAGACACAACATAGACGTGTGTCTATGTTGTGTTGTCTCTCACTTATATATGTTATGCATTTGACCAAATTAGCCGGACTATGCCTCATTCTGACAGGAACATGACGAGTAAACCCATCATAACAAAACATAAGTATATTATACAAAAACATAGCAAATTTCCGAAGAAATTCACTGTGGTGCTTTTGACTTGGATCACATCAAAATATTTGGTCATTTATATACGTTTCTGAATTCTACAGTATATTGTGTACAACATATGATTCAATGCACTGCGTTGTCCACACGTGGCTAGATTGCAGTCATGGCGAAAGTTGGTGAGGCTATCACGCTCTGCAATGGTGCTAAGATGCCCATGATCGGTTTGGGGACGTGGAAGAGTGAGCCAGGCAAGGTGAGTCATGCATCAAACATCCACATTGAACTGAACTCTTTATATTAAGTTTGTATAACATATTAGTTAATCTCTACAGTATCTAACTCAAGCCTGCAATCACGTGACTTATACGCTGCCACTCCCACTCAGAATCCCTCCCTTCGCCCCGCCCCCTGTCAAAACAGAAGCCGCTTTGTCCAGCTCGCTTCTACTTGCTCCATCTCTCTCCCACTCTTCCCTCCCCTCTCATTACCCTCCCATCCCTGACATCTTGTGCCAATAATTCCCCCTCCTTCTGGTGCTCCTTTGCTGCTGATCATCTTGAGCCGTGCCCACTTTGACAGTCATTTTGCTCTGCCCGTTTGCGGAACTTTCCTTCAAGGAAAAATAGCAAAGGCCCCTGCCACTTTCAACAGTATGTCTAAATTTCCCATTATTTTTCTCCATATGCATGTATGTTGAACTTCTTTCGCACTGTACGTAGCCAACTATGCTTTCAAGATAGAAAAAAACTAAACATTGTGTGTTTTGAGCAGGTTAGATTTTTATTGTTAGGCAACTATTTTGAAATATTCTACTAATGTGTAAGCATAGTTTTGAGCTTGCACCTGCATATTTTACATAAGACATTACACCTTATCATAACCAGCCACTGCAGTCTTTTTTACCTTTTATTTCCTGGGCAGTCTCCGCAAACCCATCTGGCCTTTGCCAATGGTAAAGTGTTTGTGAAATTTAACGAGCCGTCTTCCATTAGAACCTCTGTCACACACATTTAACCTTTATGTCAGGCATCAAAACGTGCCTATACCTAAGTACGTTTCATTCAGGGTCTGGTTTATGAGCATCTAACGTGGATGTTGGTTGAATGAATGGCCTTGGTGAATTTGTATCATCAGTAGAGGAGTGTGGTGTAGAAGTTGCTTGAAGAATCTGCATTCCTGCAAGGTGTCTTGGAGTACCTTTATTATAACAATAAGCTCGTATAAATATTATATGGGTAAGAGCTTTAAATTGGCTTAGTTTATTTAAGAAAACAAAGTATGCTGTTTGGAGAGCTATAAGAGCTAAAGGTAAGATGATGCTTCAGAACTTGTAAGATGAAACTTGTCTATTTAGAGGTAGAGGCTTCAGAATGGTTTGATGACACTTGCGACACCTAATTTTGCCGCCCACATTTGATGAATGTCGTGCTCCACTTTATGTTCATGAAAATTGTCGATGGGGTAGGGATGGTACGCAACACAGCAGTCACGATTAGTCAGTTTCACCTCAGTGATCTCAAGTACCTGGATCAGGTCAAAAATAATTGGATAACACATTTCAGCTATCTGTACATTTATTCAACGAGACTGGATACGAGGGCTGTAAGGTTAGGTGTGTTGCTGAGTAAAGGAGCTCCTGTTTCACATGAGTCAGCGGGAAGTTGGAGTTGGGGGAGAGTAGAGGGGTTTGTGCACTGTATTTAGGTGGTAAACCCCGAGGCTGAAAGGAATGTCAACAGGCAAAGTTTCATCATAAGCATAGGTTGTTGGTGAACAACATAAACGACTGTATAATACTTTAGAGTGTTAAGTTAAAAGCTGCGGTTTTTTTATGCATATGGAATGTTTGTGTTACTGCATTTGTTGGACAGTTGATATGACAAAGCAACTAGAAATTATAATTTGGCCTTTGAGTGCAGGTACATGCAGAGTTTGCTAGAAATGTCATGGCAAGATAAGGTAAGAAACTTGGGATTTTTTGAAAAACATGTGATACTTTTTTATAATCCTATAAAGAGAAGATTCTGATGGCTAGGCAATATGTGCAGGTTGGACACATGTAGGTTTGCTGAGACAGGTCAGAAACTAAGGGGAAGACCTATAACCATCTGGTGGGATGTGGTAAGAATACATCTTGGATGGTTTATAATGGTTCTGTAACAGGTTGGGGATCAGGCAGAAGACAGAAAGTCATTGTTGTTGGTATGTGACCCCTTTAGCTTGATGAAAAGTGTGCTCAATAAAACTCTTGTTGTCTGCTGCCCTCCTATCATGACTGTTGTTGTCCACAATCATCTGTTCGTACAAGACATATAGGATGTACCATCTTGTTTGTGCATAGTATGTTCTTGACTGTATTTGTATGTTCATGAACGTTCATGCAAAATTGTACCTGTACATGTGTGTCATGCATTTGCAGCATTTACCGTATTTGTTGCTGTGACCGCCAGGTTACACTGAAAACCTCCGCCTGTTGTCAGTCTGTGAAACACTAAATATTTTTAAACTTGTCTTGTGCGGCAAATGTGTGTATGTATTACGTATTAAGTAATCTTTAGTTTATTGCAATTGCTCTTTAAAAAAAAAAATCTGAAATGTTTCTAAAGTCTTAGCTTACATAACTCCTAAATGTCCTTGTTTTAGGAACAATGCATGCAATGGCAAAAAAGCCAAAAAATGTGCAGAAGTCTGGGTACATGTTTTGAAAGTGTATCTATTTTTAAAAAAATTCAGATTCTCTCAATCCCATGAATTTAGAAGAGTGTACACGAATACGTTTCATTTTTTAGGTTGAAAGTGGTATTGGGAGGAGCAGTGGCATGCAGTGGTTATCAGGCTAAACATTAGCTCTGCTGACCTGGTTTAAATTTCAGGCCATAGCTAACAATCGTGACGAGTAATTTCTGAATTGGTCCTGGGGCCTCCCCATTCACCAGCCCACATTGACCAATATGGTGAAGTATCATAAGACAGCCCCAATGACTGGCATGGTGTGGGGAGCCTTCATCCAGCAGTGTATGGACGATGTGCTGTAAATTATTACTCTATCATAACAGAGTTATATTTTTAGAAGGAAGAAGTATTTTAATCATGAACGAAAACATGCCTTATATCTCAGAAGCCATAACTGCTGATTGCAGAAAAGTAATTATCAGCTAAATTTGCATTGCTTTCCACGTGACAGAATTAGTGAATACAATATCACAGTGCTTTAAATGTTTCATATATAATAGAAGAGATGTTTGTTCAGTGAAATAATTATTTGGATTGGAATTAGATCATGTCTGGTATGTGATTAGTTTAAGAGTATTTAAAATGCATTGGTAATCTCCGTCTCACAACACCAAATGATTATTCAAATGATTGTGTGTATGCTAGCCGTACTGTACAATCATACTTTTTCCAAGTTTGTACAGCTACAACCTACAAAGTACACTACAGTAATACAGTAAAATATGTTGGAAAAGCTATCTATTTGAATGCACAGTATTATAATCCATAAATGTAGGTCATTGATATTTAATGGAATTTTTTTCTGTAGTTGAAATCTGCATAAGCTCTGTTAATTATATTATCATGCTTGTGTAATGACAGGGTGACACCTGCTGGCCTGGAAAGGGAATCACGGGTACGGGCACGGTTAAGTAACAACTAATCAGAGAAGGAGGTGTATCTGGGGCAAAGGTAACAGGTGGGGTTGGCTGAGATACTCCGGCAACCTGCTTGAAGGTTCCATGAGAGGGCGTGGCCGGAGGCAGGGCCTAGCCACGCCTGGGGGGATATAAGGGGGAGCGGACCCGGGGCTCGGGGTTCGTGTGTGGGGTCCTGGGTCCTGGCTGCGTCGCTGCTTGCCGACACCTCTCTCCGTCGTCCGGCCACGTGGAAGATCTCCTGCGTGGTTTACATTGCCGTCATCGTCACGCCGCCAGGGGTAACCAAATATACTTCCAAAATCATGAACAAACACAAGATCCATCGGTGAAAGACAAGATTCCTGATATGCAATATCCTGGCATCTACAAACTAAGCTGTATCTGCGGCAGCAGTTACATTGGAGAAACTAAGCGACATGTCTCGGACCGTGTCCGTGAACATAAGGCAGATTTGAAACATGGTAGGACCAATACTTCTGCCGTGGCTGATCATTATTTTAAAGCGGCTGGCTCAGACAAAATTGATTTTTCTAAGACGATGGTACTTTGAAAGCCTACTGGCTATTAACAAAGATTCGTTCATGAAGCCATCCATATATACACACACAGAGACAATTTCAACCGAGAGAAAGGTTATAGACTCAGAAATCATTGGAAAGATGTCATCATACACTTTGGGTCATGACTTGATTTGTGTTTTCTTGTCAACCTCCACCGTCAGCAGTGTGGGTGTATGGAGTGAGGTGCAATGCTTTGATTGGTGTTGACCTACTGCCGGTGTCGGAGCCCTCTCCTACATTAACATTAGCTGCCCCGTCCATCTCTAAACCTTTATAAACAGCTTGCTCTCAGAGGCTAACCTCCCTGTTCCTGATGACGACCGCTTGTGTTGCGATCGAAACATCGTGATATTTTTATTCACTTTCTTTTTATTATTTTATTGTTATTATTTTCTCTATCTACGTGACTTTTCCAAAAGAACCACAGAATATGAATTCCTGCAGTCACGAAAGTTTTAAGTTTCAGTTTGGTTAGGAGTTTATTCAGCCTATCATATCTTTGGGGTCAATAAAGTGAGGGCCATTTTTGTGGGGAAGTCAACATTGGTTGTTGGATGATAAACTCCCCACCGTCATAGGATGTGGAATAGCCAACACTGGTGCAGGGTTGTAAACAGGAGATGAGTGGGAAATCACTTTGACTTTTAGCAAGAGGTGCTTTAGTCAGCAGTATACAAGTCAAGCATTAGTGAGCAAACACATCCCAGAGAAAAGTTATATGGTTTAGCCGTGAATGGGCTAGAATTGCCTGGAGTCGGATAAAAGGTGAAAGGTTACTCAGAACAGTGGCAATTGAGTTATCCAGGAGACTTTGGACCTATGTGGTAGTGGTTGGAAAGATAATTCAAAAAGGTCAAACATTTTACCTGGCTGCTGTCTGGTTAAATGTGTTTACTCTAAAGTAACAGTGAACATAAATCCTCAGATTCCACAGTGTCATCACACATTTCTTATTGGTGTTTTTTTTGTAATATTGTCAGCAGTTCTTGACTGAGAACGACCTTTGTTCGGGTTTTTTACTTGTTTTTGGAGTGGAGAAA